CCCCAAAACCCCAAAACCCCAAAACCCCATGAGGAGGTGGTATAATGGAAAATAAAAGAGAGGTTGAATGGGAGGGTATAGGTGAGGATAATAGGTGACAGAGGGGATATAGGGGATATAGGGAGGGTAGAGGGGAGTTGAAGGTCGGAAAAATTGTTGTTGGTGAAGATATTTTGATTAAATTTAAAAAAGTTGCATATTTTATAACCTACCTCACCTCGAACCATCCATTCTTCTTCAAATTCTTCATTTCACTTAACAAATCACCATCCATTCAACCCAATCTAGACTCAAAAACACTTTTGCACAAACTTACATTCTCCAATACTCCACTGGCCCACTATCTATAGTAATAGCTCAGAACAAGAATGAAGTTGAAGGCAGTGAAGATTGACTTGATTCTACAAAGGCCAGAGAAATCAATTATCAATATATAACTCTTCTCTTCAATCGAGGCTCAAAGCATATATCTATATTATATCATGTCATATCAGAACGTCTGCAGGGGTACATTCCATGTATAAACTACCCGAGCTAGATACCCCAAACCTTAACTGACAAAATCCACAAACAATCAAGATTTTAAACCTTCCTAAAATCTCTTAAGCCATCTCTAAAATCTCAAAAATCATACATTTTCCTATTTTAAAACTTTTCCTAAAGTTTTCTGCTAAATCCTAAAAAAATTAAACTTGTCCAGACACAGTTTAGCATTTCTTTCAGACGGCTCAGGATCGGGTCTGACAAGAGCTATTCTTTATTCTAAATCCTGATAATAAGTTATGAGGCAACCTGGCCAACCTGGTTTATGAAATGGAGGAAGAAATTAGGAAGAGAAGTAGAGCTTTGGAGAGATTTGAACCAGATAGAGAATGTATGGATAGTAATGTTAGGTTTGCACCCAGATTATTGACTCAAGGATTTGTTTCCGATGCTTTTGAAAGTGACGAAAAGAGTTTATATTAGGGGATTTTCTTTTAAAAGAAATAGATTTGGAGATCACTTATTGACTTGAATAAGACTGAAGTAATTAAATTGTTTGGGTGAAAAATTATTACTGATGGATTAGATATTTCAAATAATTGGATACCCGTCCAGTCCAAAGTCAAAGAATTAGGAATAGATGAATGAGATGAGCTCCAAAGTCCAAAGGAGTACCCTCAAAATTTTGAGGTCCTATTTTATTCCGTTTCAAAGTCTGGCCTAAGCACTTCTTTAAGACGAATCATAATCTCTAGCACAAAAAAGTATGAACTTAACCCTTCTCAAGAGATGGAACAGAAATACCATCTTCACAACATAAGCATCAAAATATTCCGCAAAGCTCAGAAAGTAAGGCTATTGCATCTAAGAAAGGCTCGGGAATCTTTTTGTCAGATTCAATAAAAGTTCAATTACCCATCTTTAACATGGGGTTTTGGGGTTTTGGGGTTTTGGGG